CTCCATCTCAAAAAAAGAAGAAGAAGAAGAAGGAGGAGGAGGAGGAGGAAGAGGAGGAAGAGGAAGAAGAGGAGGAGGAGGAAGAAGAAGAAGAAGAAGAAGAAGAAGAAGAAGAAGAAGAAGAAGAAGAAGAAGAAGAAGAAGAAGAAGAAGAGGAGGAGGAAGAAGGAGGAGGAGGAGGAGGAAGAGAAGAAGAAGTCCCTGTTTTCTACAGACCCTGCCTGCCTGGGTCTGTACTCCCAGGCAGGGTTTCTCAGCAGTGGGACTATTAATATTTTGGATGGGGTCATTCTTTGCTGTGGGAGGGCTGTCTGGTGCATTGCAGGATACTTAGCAGCATGGTCTATGGTCTATTTGCTAAATTTCAGTAGCACAACATCCCCTGCATCATAACAATCAAATATGACTTCAGATATTGCCAAATGTCCGCTGGGGGGAATAATTGCCTCTGGTTGAGAACAACTGCTTTAATACAACAGTTTATTCACTGCTTCCTTCCATCATTCATTCATTCAACAAATATTTACAAAGCACCTACTATTCATGCACTTAGTTCATCCATGAGCAAAACAGACCCAAAGCATAAAAACAGAAACCAAGCAAAAAAACGCATGCCTACCCTCTGGGTGCTTATAAAACTTACATCTGGGGGAGAGGGGACAGAGAATAAACAATACACATACAAGTACAAATGTACAAGTATGTTCAATGGCAGCATTATGATAAAAGTTTAAAAAAAAAAAAAGCGTATGTTAGAAATCAAGAGTGGCAATTGCAGGGGGATGCAATTTTAAATAGGCTTGTTTCCTGGAGAAGACCACTGAGGAGACCCCGAGAAGGTGAAGGGAGAGTTATGCAGATACCTAAGGGGATTAAATGCAATGACCAGCCCATGCAACGGTTCTAAGTCGAAAGTGTGCAAAGTACAGAGAGAGACGCCAGTAGAGAGGGGCAGTAGGAGATGAGATCTGAGAAGTAAGAGGAAAGGTGGCTCATGGAACGCCTGTGCAGTCATGATCAGAGCTGGATTCTGGAATCTGTTTTGAAGGTCGATAAACAGTATATCCTGAAGGGTTAGCTGTGAGACAAGGGAAGAAAAGAAAACTGAAAGATGCCCCAGGACTTAGCCTGAGCAACGAGAAGGATGGAGTGGCCATCCATGAGTTGGCAAAGAGAGAGATGGAATCAGACATTGCAGGGAATGTCCCAGTTTGGTTTTGGATCCAAAGTCTGAAATGTTCATTAAATACCCACATTGGCCACGCAAGCCTGGTGTTCAACAGTGAGATGTGGAGACACACGGTTAGGACTCACCAGCATATAGAAGGTACTGGCAGCATTGGGACTAGATGAGAATGCCAAGGAGTAGATGGACAAGGGAGCCAAGAACAGACAACAGAGCATTCTAATATTGGGAATTTGGGAAGAAGAGGATAATTGGTGATAGAGACTAATAAAAACAATTAGTAAGTGGGGGAGACAAATCAAGAGAGAATGAGGCCCTAGAAGACAATTGAGGAATTTGTGTTCAGGAGGGAGACGAGAGCACCTGCTGGTGACAGGTTGAGTTGCATGAGAAATGAAGATGGACCTTTGGATTTAGCGACATTAGCATCATTGGTGACCTTGACATGGGCAGTTTCAGTAGAGTGACAGGGAGGAAAACCAAAAGGAGTGGGCTTCTGAGAGAATAGGAAGAGAAGATTTGGAGACAGTGTGTTTAGACAATTCTCTCTGGGAATTTTATTGCAGAAGAAAGTTAAGAAATGAAGAAAGTGGATGCACATGAGGTTTGTAGAAGGATGAGAAATAACATGTTTTTATGTTGATGGAAATGTACCAGTAGAATAGGGAAATTGAAAAGGCAAAGGACAATTGCCGGAACCATGTTCTTTAGTCAAAGAGAGGGAATGAAATCTAGTTCATGAGTAGGTGGGTTTGCATTAGGTAGAAATACTGCTAGTTGTCAGGTATGAAAGAAAAATGTATGGGTACAAATATCACTAGTTGGGATTTTATGGTAGTGGGAGTCTGTGGGAATGTTCTTCTGTCTCCTTCAGTTTCTCAGTGGCGATGGAATCAAAGTAATCACACGTAAGCTAGAGAAAGAGGGTGATGGCGGTGGTTTAAAGAGAACGATGAGGAAATAGTTTAAGAGACTGGGTGAGTAGATGGACTTGAGAAATATATTTTATTTTCAGGCATCATAAAGGTGGCACTCGAAGTTTGTGATCCTTAACATAAAGTCTAGTCAAACTGGTTGTGCCTAGCAAAATAAGATAGTAAGAGTATCAAAAAGCCAATGATACATGCTCAGAATAAATAAGGGATAGGTCTGCATTGACCGAGATTGGCTCAAGAGGTTTTCTGGAAGAAGTTTAGCTTGAGAATAACTTGAAAGATGACCAGGATCAATGATCGGTCTTCCTAGTTCCTCTGAGGCGTAGATTTTCTGTAATGGGACCCGTCTTTATTCTCTTTTGAAATAGACTGTGGAGGCAATGAAGACCATATTGGATGACCTCAGAGCGGAAGACCATTTCTCTGTGATTGACTTCAACCAGAACGTTCGAACTTGGAGAAATGATTTAATTTCAGCTACCAAAACACAGGTTGCAGATGCCAAGAGGTATATTGAGAAAATCCAGCCCAGTGGAGGTGAGTGTGTTGGGCTAAAGCCCAAGGAGACACTTCTTTTGGGTTCAAATCATGGTTCACTTAAGAAGCATTATTCCCATCACAGTAGTCTTTCCCCAGCCTTCAAGAGCCTGCCTCAAATAATACATTTATTGGTAATGGATGAATGCTAAGTTTGTAGTGAAAGTAGAATTTGTAATCCAGCCCACACAAGCTTTGAACCATTTTAATCTCTCTCAGAAAAAGGTTCAGTGACACTGGCCTTCTTTATTGCCTGCGTAAAGCATAAAATGTTACTGTCTTCAGAGTGTCTTGGCAAGGCTGATTTGGATACTTTAACCTGGTGTTTAACAAACTAACAGTCTGTGCTTTGAAAGGGCTAATTCATCTCTAAGGGGATAGTTTACTTCCAAGTGAATCTTTCACTGCACTGGGGGACCACCAGCTTGAGCACAGTTTGTGTCACTCAGAAAGCAAGGAAATGATTTTGGCATGGAATAACTGATGGATAAGTGATCCACCAACATACGAGTCTGAATCCAGGATGGGGTTTTCTGTGTGTGGCGAGAACGCATACCCAACGTTTCATTATGCTACTTCAACAGGCACAAACATCAACGAAGCACTCCTGCGGGCAATCTTCATTTTGAATGAAGCCAATAACTTGGGACTGTTGGACCCTAACTCTGTCTCGCTGATCATTTTGGTTTCTGATGGAGATCCAACAGTGGGCAAGTGTCACTTCAACTTTGTCACGACGAACACTTTCACTGTTGTTTCTTGGAATGGTGGTTTGCCTAAAAGGGGAACTCTCATGGCATTTGCCTGAGTTTCTAGAACATTTTAAACCCATGCTTCCTAAAGGAGGTCTTCTGATCCTGCAGTCCTCGCCCCCTAAGCTACTGCTCAGACACTTTCAGCAAGGGCACTCTTGAGTGCCTCAGTGCCACCTCCACAATATGCAGAAATCTGAGTCTGAATTTTAACAGTAGGTTGTGAGGATTGCTGATGCATTCTAGGGAAATGCATTTATTTCCTCAACTTGAGGTATGTGAAGATGGTGTATGGGGGTGGTGGATGATGAATATTGATCCCAGAGCTCTCAGCAGTACATTTGGAGGCCACAGTAGCATATTCCCTATTATTCTCCACACTTCTCCCAGTTGCAGCTGGAGAAATGACTGCTCTCTGACACAACCTTGAAGTTAAACATTTTTCTTTCTACAAAATGGCAGCAACATCTCTCTTCTTCTATTATTTACTTTTATCTTTGTTACATTGTTTGATTTTATTTATTTTTTGAGACAGGGTCTTGTTCTGTCACCCAGGAGGGAGTACAGTGGAGCGCACACAGCTCACTGCAGCCTCAACCTCCCGTGCTCAAGTGATCCTCCCACCTCAGCCTCCTGAGTGGCTGGGACTACATATGTGCACCACCACACTCAGCTAATTTCTTTTTTTTCTTTTTCTCTCTTTTTTTTTTTTTTGGAGAGACGAAGTCTCACGGTGTTGCTCAGGCTGACCTCAAACTCCTGGGCTCAAGCAGTCCTCCCACCTTGGCCTCCCAAAGTGTTGAGATTACAGGTGTGAGCCACTGCACACCTGTGAATCTGCCATTCACTATTACTGACACTATTACTGGCCACTGTCAGTAATAGTGAATGGCAGATTGTGTTGTCTGAGTGTGCTATCCTACAGACTAGGACTGGGTCTGATACATCCTGACACAGCCAAATGGAATGAAAATGCACGAGGCAACACAGTGACAGCCAGAGCTTTAGAAAGCCAGAGAGCAACCATCTTATTAATAATGAGACTAGAAAGAGCCATTGTTACGTATTTGTTGTAGAGCCAAGGTTTTCTCTCTCTCATCAGATTACTTTTAAAATTCAAGTTTTGAATAAAATCATAAGGTAGAAAAGGAAATATAGTTTAAAATATTTTAAACACAGTGGCTCACACCTGTAATCCCAGCACTTTGGGAGGCTGAGGTGGGTGGAGCACCTAAGGTCAGTAGTTCCAGACCAGCCTGGCCAACGTGGTGAAACCCCATCTCTACTAAAAATACAAAATTAGCCGGACATGGTGGTGTGTGCCTGTAATCCCAGCTACTCGTGAGGCTGAGATAGAAGAACCGCTTGAACTCGGGAGGTAGAGCTTGCAGTGAGCCAAGATCTCGCCACTGCACTCCAGCCTGGGCAACAGCGTGAGACTCCGTCTCAAAAACAAAAACAAAAACAAAAAAGTTAAACCATAATTTGGTTTAATCATGGTTTCTCACTCCTGTTTCTTAACCATTCAGTTCCTGTCCCTGGAATCAGTCACTGGTTGCCAGTTTCTTATGTATCTTTCCACAGATAGTTTATGCATGCCTGTATACTATATATACATGTTTGCACACAGGCATGTGTATGTGCATACATACACATGCGTACATTTATACAAGCTTGCCTGCAAATGCATCCTATGTACCCTGATATTGACCTAGTTTTTTTTTTTCTACTCTAAACGTGTCCTTGAGATTGTCTGGTATAAAGAGTTGCTGTGTCCTTTTTAGTAACTGCATAGTATCTCACGGTTTGAACATACCATCATCTAACCAAGTGCCTCCTCACTGGTGTGTATTTATGTTGTTTTCAATATGCTGCTAATTCCCCAATAATGTTGCTATGCAACGCAAGCCACACTTCATTTCAACATGTATGAGTGCATCTCTAAGAAAAACTCCTAGAAATTGAGTTACTACGTCAAAGGATAAATGCAATTTTAATCTGGACAAATTTTACTAAACTGCCCTCCCTGAATTTTCCAGAAACTTTATGACATTACTTGTTTATTCCTTTCCTTTCTGTCATCGCCCACTTTAGGTGAACTAAAACTGTCAAAAATTCAGAAAAATGTGAAGGAGAACATCCAAGACAACATCTCCTTGTTCAGTTTGGGCATGGGATTTGATGTGGACTACGATTTTTTGAAGAGACTCTCCAATGAAAACCGTGGAATTGCACAGAGGATTTATGGAAACCAGGACACGTCTTCCCAGCTTAAGGTAACGTTTTTCTTCTGTTCTTTTTTTATTATTCACTGGAAATCATTTAACTACCCATATCTGATGCATGTATGATGCATCACTGAACTTAACTCAAAATGGTCATGATCTCAGCCATATTTGGTTGGAAGGATCAGGAAAGTGCTCAGTTCCTTTCTCACACGTTTCTCTTCACCCTCATATTTCTGCAGTAACAGTGAGGTATGAGGCAGGTGGGTGATGGGAACGGCTTTCCTACCCCCTGAACAAAAAGGTCTTCTGAGCGTCACCAAAGCTCCTTGTAGCTCTCCCGCCCCGCTAGCAATTGGTCTTCTTATCATCATGGTCAACCGTTTTCTCTTTAACATGCATTGGCATCTTGGTATCAATTTTTCACAATGTAAATTTTCTTAAGTATTAAGATAGAGGCTGAGTGCGGTGGCACATGCCTGTAATCCCAGCACTTTGGAGGCCAAGGTGGGAGGATCACTTGAGCCCAGAGGTTTAAGACCAGCCTGGGCAACATAGTGAGAACAGTCTGTTCAAAAAATAAATTTTTTAAAATTAA